TTGCCTAGTTCATATGACCATAGCAATGTGATGGTCTCTGTTTATTTTAGGAGACAGAGATCACTCTGACAGAGGTGACTATGAGCCCGACTACCTCTCAACCAGGAGCCTCTGTTCCAGGTAGGACACACAACCACACTCCAGATAGAAATGTACCTGACATCTGACTGGCTGAACAGGGGACATAAGAGACAACTGCTCTCTCAGTCTCTTCAGTTCCCTCTGATGGGCATTAACCTGAGTTGGTTTGGCTGTGTAAAGCAAGATGCATGCTTTTGCTTCCCTTGTCTACAATCTGGGGCCACCAATGATAAAGATGTTTTGTTTTACAAATATAGAAAAGAAAGGTTCATTGGAAGAGAACAAGGCACCCAGTATGCATGTAGCTGCTGCAGGTTGCACTGTAGACCACCTGCTAGGGACAAACCACAATTAGGTTCCAAGTGAAGTCACAGCCGCCCCCCGATTTCACTGAGGAATGTCTGGGCTAATAATCTGAAAATGAGTTGATGAATTTATTGAATATCTTTAATATTGATATATGTATGTGTTTGTTAAGGAACACTAAGGAACACTAGTTCCTCCAGCAGAATCCTCATCTCTGTTCAGAGTCTGTAAGAGCTCTCTCGTAAAAGCGTAAAACAGTTTGCTATAAATGAGTGTCCCTGACTGACAGCCATTTGCTATTTTATTAGTTTTTATATATAACCTGTGATCATTTGCATCTAACATCTAATTTCCAATTATGTGACAATGCACTTTCAATACAAGAATGAAGTATTTGGGAGTCTTAATTATGACTTTCAGCCAATCAAGTAGAAGTTTTGTTTGGAAGAATATTCAAGAAAAGCTGACTACAATTTGGCTGTGACCTCCTTCTGTGATATTTAAGTGAATGTCAGACACTGCCTTTAGTTCTAATAGCACGTGTCCATCTGTCTTTGTTCGGTTTTAGACACAAGTCCCCAAACAGTGTCGGCATCACCAGGCGTCCTTCCGCAGGCCAAGCCCCCGCTCCAGCCGCCGCCGCCGCCGCCGCCGCCTCCTCCTCCTCCTCCTTCTCCTCCTCCTCCTCCTACTCCTCATCCTCATCCTCATCCTCATCCTCAGCAGCTGCAGCTGCAGCAGCAGCAGCAGCAGCAGCAGTACGCTCCAGCTGTGATTCCCTGGAGGAAAGCCAGGATCCACCGCTCCAACAGTGATCCAGTATTGATGGACCTCGCTGCTAAAGGTGGCTTTTTGCTCATGTAAAACTATGCAATCTTTGGAAATTGGTACACCAGTATGAGATTAGACACTTGTGACAACAGTCCAGACTACATATATAGTCAGCACATTAATAAGCCATTTCATTCAGTGGGATGGAATTAATCTTTGGGGAGGTCAACATCTGCACACTATCGACTGAAATTCATTTAATTCTTAACTGTTTCTTAAGAAATTAGGTTTGTTATTAATGTGAGAAACTTAACGTGATACTCGTTAATTGTAAATGAATTCAGTTACAAGCAGCAGATCTTATCAGCTCTTTGCCAAGAAAATTACCTTCTGAATAGCAACAACTTCCACTGGACCATGGTTACAAACAGGAAACAGTTCTCTGTGTTAGACAGTAATGTGTAGTCTGACATGAGCACCAGCTGACACACACTCGTGTAGGAGTAGTAGGAGAAGTAGATTAGATCAGCTTTTAGTAACTGAATTCATTCAACAAGTTACTAGCATCAGGTTTAATTTCTTACGTTTATAACAAAGTAAATTACATGAAAATTTCAGAATGAAGAGAGTTACAATTGACTGTGTAGTGAAGTCTGAATCTCTCAGTATTGTTAACTATACTATATAACTATATGATAAATCTCTGTCAGTCACATCACTGCTCTCATTGCACTGAAACAGCTGAGCCAATCACAGAAGAGGTCTTCGTGGGTCAAAATAATTGTGCCCAAACGTAAAAATACGTGGAAATGTACAACCTGGCCCCAAATCAGACCAGTCTATTACTTGAAAGCTGCAACCCTGAACTGAGAAATGTCTGACCTGAACTTGGCTTGGAGACATAGACTGATTCCCAGATTTAGCTGCCATTGACAAATTAAGTTGTCAAAATAAAACTGCCCTACTTTATGTAATGTAAGTAGCCTCCCCCCTGTGCTTGGCAGCACCCTGACCTCGTTTGGCCTAAATGGAACGGTTAGTATCATTAGTAACACCTGTGTTTACCCTACTATTTTTTTGTGAAAAAGGTCTATTAGGGAGCCCACTCGAGTATTAACATATAATGTTAAACCCAGTTGGGTTCTAGGGTTTAGGTGGACCCATGAGGACCTCTAAATCACAGTGAAGTCTGACCCCAATAACTCAACAAATGGAGAGAGATCTCAGGCAGATGATGTGGAGTCTTAAACAGCTGTTTATTACAGTGCTGGAAATAATTAGAAATGCAATGACAACATGTTGGATAACTGTGGAGAACTGGAACCTGAACCATCTTCTTCCTCCTCTGATGTCTGTGCAGTGCAGAGCAGCAGTGACGCTCCCCTCGCTCCCTCTCCTCAGACCACAGACTCTTCCACCCAGACATCGCAGCCCACGCTGGCCGCCCAAGGCCACGTCACACTGCGACGGGGCAACAGCAACAGTAGGACACCACGCCGGCCCCGGCCCTCTTCCATGGTGGACTACCAGAGCTACCGACACACGCAGCAGCTGGTCAGGAAAATTCTAGAGCAGCCGGCAGCCCAGGGCCTGACCCCCGAGGTCCAGGAGCTAGTGGACAGCATACGACATGTCCTGCAGTCAGATCAGGAGCACATGGAAGAGGCTGTTCGCTGCGCCAGTTACATAGAACAGGTATGAGTTCAGGCATGCACAGATATTTGTCATCCAAAAGTATTCATATGGTAATTATTAGAAAGCTAAAAGAATAACATTAGCATTGGCCAAAAAAGACCGTAGGTGATGCGTTCTAAAAACAATCACACATTATTCGACGTATTCAATTATCTATTTTTGCAAATATAAACCAATAAATAGAAGACGTGACCCTCTAAATCCCGAGGCGTTCCCAGGCCAG